TTCTTCTTTTTACTTTACAGAAAAATAATTTAATATAAGTTATATTAATTTCTATCTATCTATTGAGTATGTGAGGTTATGGTACTACGAAGAAATGATATGCATGTAAATTAATATCCATATTATATATATATATATATATATATATATATCAGTTACAAAATGTAACTTGTATCAAAACTTTCAGTCAATACCTTGATAACAAGAGTACACAATTGGTTATTTTAAACAAAAATTATTTCTAGTTGTTGAGATTAATTTAAATTAATTTGACTTCTTTAATAGCAGTATAATCTTCTAAATGACCAACGAATGATTAGGATAACTTAATAATGATCACAGTTAATAAAATATGTCCATTGTTAGAAGAAAATAAGAAATATAAACGAAACGGGAAAACAATCTGAAGAAGACAGACCAATGTTCTGTAAAAATATGTAGTATGTTCAACCATGAATAAAATTCTTCCTTACGTTTAAAAATCGTTGTTTCTCTACCTATTATTAAAGAAAAGAACTTCTTTGAAATATTAAACAGCTCATCTTGTGTTTATGCTAAGTTTTCTCCTTATAAAAATAATTTTTTTGGCACCAGAGACTTACGCGAAGGCTTCTCATACAAATCACCTACATCTTGTACCAAACAATCAAGACGGTACGTAATTGTTATTGTAAATCAAATGCACTAAAATCACCATTTTACTGAATTTTAATTATTAATATTTCATGATACAATATATTAATGCCTATAGTATACATTGTAAGCTACTTTATGTTTGATAACTACTATATACAATAACGTACAATAAAACAGTTTTACATTTGTTGTTACGCAAGTCGTAACTGCTTTAACATCATTAAATGATAACATCACTCCAATTACGAAGTATTTCCATTAGTAGTAGTTGAAAAACAATGAATTGCAAGCACAATTATAATTATTGTAGAAAATATACTCCATATTTCGACAATACCTTAATTAGTCTGTCTTCTTCGGGTATCGTCGAAACCTGTAGTATGTTTTCCACAATAAGTATCTCTGTGCTTACAAATCATTGTTTGTTAATTTACTACTGTATTAGTATAAAGTGTTATTATACACAAGCAGAAGTAAAGTATATTCACGATTTCAAAACGAATATTCCACCCGAGCCTGACGATCATCCGCTGACTGACACACACTCCTGAGTAAAAGAGCATTTTAGGTTACGTTAATACATTAATCGGTGTATATCGTATAAAATATTAAGCAATTGAAAAAAATAAGAGTTCCAGAATAATTCATTAATATTAGTATTCAGATAATATTTTTTTTATGTCCGTAGGTTAGCTGTGAGCAGGACACTTTAAGTTTTCACTACTCAAGTAGTGGAAAGATATCGGATATTTGGGAGCACCAAGCATGGAAAGCCAGCGAATGAAGAAAGAAGGGTTTCCTTCTGCTATATAGTTTTAATTGTAAGATCTCAACTAAGAAAATGACCATTTTGTCTCAGTGTCTGTGGAAGTAGTTCTTGTAGTTGAGGATCGGGAAGAGCTGCTTTTGTTGGATTCTGGCACATATCATCGCTTTCCACGACGTAGTACAATTTGTTTCCCATTTCGTATTTAGAATCTGTTTGTAATCTCACTGTTCCATCTGATACCGTCAGTATAGATACCTCATCTTTATGAGAATTGTATGAAATACTACTGTTTCTTCGGACTTCACATTTTGTGACATTACAAAGGAACTTTTGACGACGGCATATAATAAATGATACTAATAATCCTAAGGTTACCAAAGAAAAACTTCCAGCAAGTGAGAATAATATTATCAAAGCTGTTTTAGGATCGTTGGCTTGATCTTTAGATCCTTTATGTGCACTAGTAATTGGGTACTGTTGTTGATTTTCTTCAAGTGAAGGTAAATCACGAGTTTCTTTAAAACTGTGAGGGTTTTCAACTGTCCACTTTTTTATTGGATCAAAAATGGCTGATGCTACTGTGCTTGTAAACGATAAAAGGGCACTACTACGAACAGATGGTTTTGCAGTATTGTTGTTAAAACTGGTGATTCCAGTGCTGTCAATAATTGCTATTGTTTTACTTAGTGCTTCTGTTTGGATACGTGTGCTATTTATATTTGTGTTGCTGTGGTTGATAAGCGTTGTCATGTTAAACATAATTGGTGTTGGAGGCAAGTTACTTGGTAGATTGTTAATTGCTGGAGTAACACTTTCATTATAAGATGTTTGCTCTGACGCTTTTATATACATTTCTTTATTTTCAAATGTTTTTGACTCAAATGATCTTATCCATGTGTCAAGTCGACTTCTATTCAGCTTTACCGACACAAATTTACCATACACTGGGACTAGACTTCCAAAAGACTTGGTTGTATTAGGTTGAAAATGGTTTTTCAGTGGTTCATATTTGATGTTTAGCTTTTTATGATTTACATTTTCTGTTGTATTTTTTGTAGAAATTCTTTTATGTGTGATTGTTAGGTCTTTTTTTGTAAGAAGCATTATTGGTTTGAACTGCAGCTGTAATGGAGACGCACAACGAACGTCGTAGCTGCGGTAAAATTGTATATTTGAAGTAGTGATCCATCTTTGTAGCCACAATATAGACTGGTTGCAGTGCCAGTTGTTGCCATTCATTTTTATAATCTTTAACTTGGGAAAGAAGGAGGGAAAGTCAGAACGAAGGCTGACCAAGTTATTGTGCATAATATTTAGTTCTCTGAGATTACGTAAACCATGGAGTGCTCGAGTAGCATAAATGAGTTGGTGAGAAAAATTGGAACTGTCGTACAACTCTAAAGTGTGCAGGTTCGTTAGCGTGTCAAAGACCTGTTCATCAAAGTAGATGAAGGAAGAAGTGCGAGAAATCTGGAGGGTTTTGAGATGTCCCAACCCAAAGAAGCATCTCGGCTCCATTATCTTAATTTCATTCTGAGAAAGATCCAAAGTTTGAAGTTGAGTAAGTTTCTCGAAAACGCCAGTTGCTAATTTTTGTATATTGTTAGCTTGAAGGTCCAAGCTTTTTAAATTAAAGAGGTCGCAGAAGGCACATTCTTCTAGCTGTTCAATTTGATTTCTTTGAAGAAATAGTTGCTCCAAGTTGATAAGTCCTTGAAAGCTAAAAGATGATATTTTTTCCAGTTTATTTTCTTCCAAGTAAAGTGCACGTAAACAAGTTGGTAAGTTGACAGGGATTGAGCTTAGTTTGTTACCGTTTAACCATAGTCGATTCAAATATTCAAGTCGCCCTAAAGCATCATCTTCAATCTCCCTAATTTTGTTATCATCCAGAACAAGTAGTCCAAGATGATGATAACTGTCAAGATCTCCAGCTCTGATATAAGTAATGTTATTTTTGGTTAATCTTAGGTCTCGAACGAAACGAGCCAAACTTTGAGGCACACGCTGTATACCAATATTTGATATATCAATATACTGAAGGCTGGTGCCAAAAAAGTCCAAACGAGATAAGGTAGTAAGTGGATTGTTGCTTAGAATTAGGTGAGCTAGATTTGTTAAATACTGGAAGGTTCCTATTTTAATTGCAGAAATGTTGTTTGAGTCTAGATTTAAATATTGAATCTTCCATAATCCTGATAAGCTCTTGGAAGTAAGTCGAGGAATGTGATTGTTTCTAAGGTTTAGTTGTTCCACACAAGACAATTCTCGAAATGCCTCATCAATAAAAACAAGAACGTTAGAAGAAATATCCAAGTAACGTAATGCCATTAAACCATCAAAAGCTCCTCTGCTTAAAACAGTGAGCAGATTTTGACTCAGGTCCAGATGTTCTAGAGTCTGAAGATTCAGTAAGGAATCATTGGAAATAATTTGCAGTTGTGCTTGCTGAAGTTTGAGCTCTTGTAACCGTACTAGACCTTCCAAATGTGAAGAAGACAAGGATGGAACTATGTAGTTCCGAAGCTCTAAGCGAATGGCTGTTTTTGGAATGTCTGGTGGTAGCTCCAACTGTCCATTTCCAATACATCTAACATAGTGGAAACTTTCATCACAAAAACAGGCAGTTGGACATGCTACTGAATACTTTGCTAGCATGATATACCAATATACAATCAAGTGAAATAGATTAATTTTTCCCAGTCGTACAACTTTATTTGTACCATGGTGATGATTATTCAAGTTCAAGTCACAGATTTCGGGTATTTTATATAGAATTTAATCTTTAAGATAAAACCCATTTGCGACAGTTTTTTAGGGTTACATAAGGCTTATTGTTTGTTGGCTTTCTTGGACTATAGCTTCTTAATTAACCACTGAATTGGGTAGCTGTTGAAATGTCTTTTTAATTGGAGTATCAGTTATACTCCAGGTTGTGCAGTAGCTGAAATGTTAATATTTCACAAGTTTCCGTTTTGTCTACCAGAGTGCATTGGTGTCAATTTATTTGCGTAATGATTATTAGCTTTTCCAGTTTTGAGTTAAGATTGTCAATGTTAGCTTCGATAGTAATTGGGTAATATTTTACTGAGTGGCTGTCGAAAGCTCAGAATGCCTGATTTGACAATGTTTTGTTAGTGTCGTTTTTGTTATCTGATTTATCACGCACTCAATGCTTTTTGAGTCAAACTGCTGTCATTACTTCTCACGAAGATCATCCGAACGTTTCTTTAGTTAAGTCATATTTTTCGTTTAAGTTACTTTCTTTATACAGCTCTTTATTCACATGTTCACCAATCACAGCTCACCTAATATATGTAGTAATGAAATGTTTGGTATATTGTATTCTTGGAGAGTTGCCTCTGCTAGTTAAGATAATTACAATTAGAAGCGTTTCTTCTAGGTCATTAAACCCTGATAGATGTGCTTGCAGAGACTAAATACCTTATCTTACTGAGATTCTTACCATCCTAGGAACATCAGTTTTTTTGTTGTTGCTCGAGATATGTATCCGCCATAACAAAACTGTCGTAGCTCAACCTGATAATTTAGTATCTCGGGTAGACCACTGCCAAGTATAAGCGCAGCGCTAATCTCTTCAATGCTCTGGTTGGTTTACTATACACTATGAAAAACTGTGACACTTTGAATTCTGCACGTTTTTGTTTAGGAAGATTTTCGTTCCTTCTTTTGTGGGCTTTTGTTGTAACTGCACCTAAAAAACAACAAACAAACAAGATTTAGAAGGATCACAAGTAGAATTGTTTAGTTGTACAAAGATAAAACGTATTAAATGTACATATGGGTTACAATCTACACTACGAAATTTCTAAAGCATTTTCTAGCACTTTTAGAATTATTGATCTTAACTCATTATTTACTCTTAATGTAAGTTTCGTAAATAATATCCTACTACATTTAGTTGGTTTGCATTCTTACAGTCCCCCGATGGGACAGTGGTAAGTTTTCGGATTTACAACGCTAAAATTAGGGGTTCGATTTCCCTTGGTGGACACAGCAGATAGCCAGATGTGGCTTTGCTCTAACAAGAGTGCCGTAAGTGCAATCATGGCTTTGTCTTTTTGTTATATTCTGAACATCATTCTCTTTCGGTATACATTCGATTATTAAAAGGATTACTCTACAATCAGATATTAATAGAAATACCAAGTCACGCAAGTTTATGATTCCGATTTAAAGATCATTTATAATAAAAAGTCAATAGTACCCGAAGCCACTAAGTCTGTTGAAAATTGATTGTTTGTTTGGTGTTAAGCGCAAAACTATACAATAGATTATCTGTGCTCTGCCCACTAATGATGAACACAACATAGGTATTAAAGAGAGCTGGCTCATACAGAGACTGAGACTTGAGATCAACTAAATAGGGTTTGCCTTAAATTACTGTTAATTTTGTAAAATTTTTCTTTTGTCGAAACATTATCCAGTACTGAAGGCCTATTGAAGATTTTATTGTTAATATGTCTAAATCTGGATAAGGAAGCGAATTTCCAATTATGTTAATTCAATAAAGAAGACTATAAACGTAAAATTTTGCAATCTCATAAGATAATTTAATCGAGACTGATGGTATGACGTACGTAAAGAGATTAAAGACCAGTAGTATAACACCTATTAATAAAAGTGGAAAAATATTAAAAAATTGAAAGTTTAGAAATGTTTTCACCAAAATGTGAGTAATGGACATGACGTAATAAAACTTCCTCTGTACAACCTCACAAGGGGGCGTGTCCAACGTCCAGTCCATGTCTACTTCGTTTATTCTTTCTATTCTATATACAATAAGCCAGGTGGACTAAACTTATGAGAAGTAGGTATGTTTATTATACAATGATTAGACTTTTCTGTGAATTGGATTATTGTAGGCAGTACATGTACTGTATTGTCCGTTTATACTACACCAGAAGAATCGGATATTTGTGTAGACCCATAACTTGTATGCTTCCTCTCTCTTTACAACGTGTCCCTTCTTTTGCAATTGTATGAAAAGGCCACAGGATGTCGTACATCACCTATATAGGTGGATTAAAATACAGTGATAAAAATCCTAAGAGGTTTCTGTGTATCGACGTCACGGATTCGTTAATGTTTGTACAAAAGTTTTAAAATCATAGACTTTTGTACCTATAAGTTGTATAATATTATGAACTTAGATAAACAAAGTAGGCATGGACCAGATGTTGGACACGCTCTCTTGTGAGGTTGTACAGGAGAAGTCTTATTACACCATGCTCATTTCTACCTTGTTTTCTCATTTTTTGGTGCACCCATTTCTACACTATTAATTCTTTTTGATATATTTTTTTCTACTTATTCATGCTCTTTTTTCCATAAAAGATGACGTGATCTTATGCATCATTCATTCATATGTGTTGATATCCTGTATGTATATCACCAATGTGGGTGTGCACCATAATATTATGGTATGTAAAAATAATGGTGCATGTGTGTTGTACATGTGATGGCACACACTCTATAGTGTGCAATGTTATTAGAGTGATGTAGTGTAAGTTGTGGTTTTATGCATATACTAAAGGATGGTAAATTAACTACTTCATCTAGTTTAGGCAATAACTAGAATATCAAGTAGGCAAAACTAGTAATGCAGGTTGTCATTAATGAAAGAAAGTGGTACTATTCATGTTGAATATACCACCAGGTAAACTGGGTAAAAATAGTTTCAACTTATCTTCAGCTGGATGGAAGGCTTGTTTGACAGAATGAATACCACAGACAGATAGAATTCCAGTCTCACGTGAGCACAAATGGGAGAAATCCAGGTGAAATGGATGCGATGGCAGTTCAATTGAAAATATTTAGTGTTCACTTCAAGCTCAACAAAATAATGAATATATTAAATAGTTCACCTGTAGTGTATGATTGCCCATCCATAAAAGCTGACTAATTCATCCTCGCAGCCAGAGTTCGCTATATAAACGCTTGTAACACTTTCAATTTGAATAATCTTTCACGAAGAAAAACTGGAAATAACAAACTCTCAAACGAAGGGTTTTATACAGTAAAACCTGGTTGCGACAGTTTGAAGTAGTTGTGGACTCCCACGCTACGTATTAAATGCTTCATGAATGCAAACATGATTTAATTTACAATAAGTACTATATATTCCTAGCAAAAGAGCGTAGCTTGTCTTCTAGCCTAAATAGTGAAGCTTCTCCCAAGGCTCATCCTACGTTGCCATACCCTATACTACTCACAGTTTCCAGGTTTTGTCAAACAGTGCTGTAGATCGAGAATATAACACCCCTTCATTGTTATATTTAACCACATCTACTCAGTATAGGGAGTGAGCGAGCAGATGTATGTATCTTAAAATGGCGTCCTTAATCAAGCTATTACCTGATGTACGTCAAATAGCTCTTTTTGGTGATATTTAGTATGGAAAAACGCTAGCGCTAGCACG